CGCGGGTCTTTAGTCATACGAGGACCCGCAGCTGGAGATTTTAGTTATCTGACCGAGGCCTTCCACTGGCTTACCCCTCCACCCCTTTAAAAAAATATAATTATGATTATTTCCACTTATTAGTTTTACCCATTATGCGTGTAATAGCACATGGCTGTGCACCCACTGAGTGCTTTACAACCCATCCTGTTCTGATCCTGCTTTCCCTGTTCACCCAATACAGTTGGTGTTTTTCCAGTTCCCAAAAGAAAGAAACATTTCTCTGTATCGGAATGCACATCATCAAATGAACTCAATAGTGATGGAATGCCCGCCCCTCACCTGCATTCTACGAATATACAACCATTCTTAGATATACATTCCTTACAGACAGTCACTAACGCTACCCTACATATGTGCACAGTTCTTGTACATTTGTACTATCCTGCCTTACACACGTACATAGTTCATGTATATTAGAACTAACCTGACCTACACACGTGCACAGTTCAATAGCCTTTCATGTAGACCTTAATTAATTTTGAGACTCTCATTGAGACTGGACTGGAAACGTCTGTGTATCGCCGATTTCTTGGTTATCTTAGTGTCAAATCTCTTCAGAAATCAGTATTAGGATACAGTATCGTTGATATGTAGGTCCGTAGTGTCCTTGTTACGTCAGTAACGTGTGAGGGACGTGGGAGGATTGATTTGTATTGCTTCCGCGTGGACCTGCAGTTTACGCTAGTCCACACCAGTGTGGTCTTGACGACCAGGACTGTTTATCTCAGTTATACATAGCATAAACACCCACCCCTGCCGTCTGAACTTTTACGCTCGTCCCCCACCAGTCTAGTTCTGGCTATTTGCACTATTAACAGACTTCATGATAACTGTGATACTAAGGTATCAACATCATGTGTATGGAATTCACCACTGTGTAGTGATGCAGTGTTGAATCTCAACTCTGTGTTCAGACAGCGAATGCTCATTACTGTTATGATAATCGTCATCTGATTAAAACCCGTGTTGCATGAGGTTTTGTGGGCGAGAGGCTTGAACTTCCAGCAAGCGTGCATGAGCGTGTTAGATAAGAGTGAATGGAAACGAATGGTTTTTTGAACCTGACGAGCTGTTGGAGTGTGAGCAGGGTAATATTTAGTGAAGGGATTCAGGGAAACCGGTTATTTTTATACAGCCGGACTTGAGTCCTGGAAATAAGAAGTACAATGCCTGCACTTTAAAGGAGGGGTTTGGGATATTGGCAGTTTGGAGGATGTGTAATAGGACGGTGTATATATAATTGGGGCCCTGATATTATGTTCTATATGGCAAATAGTATAGTTTATTATATTATTTCAGGTCACTTTTTATATTGTATCTTTACATATGCTTCTAAACTGTTGTGTTCTGAGCACCTCTGCAAAAGCAGTGATTATGTGTGAGTGAAGTGAAAGTGTTGAATGATGAAAGTATTTTCTTTTTGGGGGATTTTCTTTCTTTTTGGGTCACCCTGCCTCGGTGGGAGACGACCGACTTGTTGAATATATATATATATATATATATATATATATATATATATATATATTTTATATATATATATATATATATATATATATATATATAATATATATATATATATATATATATATATGTACTACGAAATAATGGTGAAACTTCAAGCTCTTTCGTGAATTCCACACATTATCAAGAAACTGATAATGTGACAATTTCACGAAAACGCTTGGAAATTCACTATTTTTTTCACAGTGGTTATTTTGCGCGCGCACACACACACACACACACACACACACACACACACACACACACACACACACACACACACACACACACACACACACATACACACACACACACACACAAAGACAGTAGATGACACAAATTCGGGTGCGTCAACGAGAGTACATCTTCTGAAGAGACTGGGGAGAGTAGCTTCAGTTCCTTGGATCAAGAGTCCTTCACAGGCGTCAACACAGGAGAATGTGTAAAATCCCTAAGATCACCTGGAACATTTTAAATCAAGAGCTCTCAGGCGAGCGTTTGAAGCTTATCTACTACACATTGTTCCAGACTATGAAGCAGAACTCTTCCCCCGGCTGAGGGACTGACTGCCTCAAAACTACTTCTTCGAGGGTGATGGACTGATTACATCGTCTCTGCATCACGGCTGCTGCCTCCTCTGTATTCGACTGAAGAAGCCTGCTATGTAGGCGAAACGTTTCGGAGTAAAAACACCTAACTGTTGCACATCCGTCTTACCTATTTATTGGTATTATGTACCACTGTCATGTTTACGCCAGGGTCATTAAGGCTGTTTATCACCTGTTCACCACCAGTCAAACGTATTTTAAATACTTAAAATATGGAATAAGGTTAACTCACAGGGGATATACATGGTGAGGGATACACCTCTCCGTGTATATCCCTCTAGTTAAAGGTTTGACTCCGAATTTGATCGATTTTTACAAAGCAATAGTTAGGTAAGATTTGTCAGGAAACAAGACAAGTGTTTCCTGACGCAGGTCTTTGTTATATGATGACCCGCCACTGCAGCTTTTGGTCATCTGACCGAGGCCTTTCCCTGGCTTACCCTTTCACCCCTTTAAAAAATTATGGAAATAGAGTTTCTATTTTAAGTTACCAATGGTTGCAATTTGTAGAATTTTTATTAACTGCGAAGAGAGCGATTGGATGAATGATGGTGAATGAACTTTTTCTTCCGCATCACCCTACCTAAGGTGACACACGGCCGATGTGAGTGGAAAAAATACACAAAACATAACAAAAACTGTTATAACACCTCACTGAGGTTATTTAACGTTCATCAGGAAAGACAAGTGTTTCCTGACGCGGGTCATAGTCATATGATGACCCACATCTGGAGCTTTTGGTCATCTGACCGAGGCCTTTCACTAGCTTACCCCTTCCACCCATTCAAAAATTTTTGGTTATTATTATAACCATTTTCTTTTCAATGAGGATGAAGACAATGGTGAAGTCTAAGCTCCACGTGAGTGCACAAGCGACGTGACAGCCTCGTAGCCACACTTACGATCCAGCTTCTGAGAAATGTTTGAGAAAGCTAAAATAAGAAGCTTCTATTACGCATTTCAGGCTAACACTATAGTGTAAACACATTACATCCCGGTATAGCCTCGTAGGATATATGTAACGAAAGGCGTATATACTTCAGTGAATACACACCAAGAAGTGTATATCTCTCAGTATATACACACCGCCAGGTGTATATCCTTCAGCTTATATACACCGGGTACTGTGTGTATCATTATTGTTACACTGAGGATTTGCATTTTAGGGGTTTAGAAATTCTTAAGTATCACCAGACACTTGAACGGCCATGTTATTGAAAATTAAAATCCATATTTACCTTCAACCCAACACGTAAAGACGCAAAATTTATAAAAAACAATAATCAGCTTCCCTTGTCACTGACCAAAAAAAAAAAAATTATCATTTTTGTATATATTTCCGTTCTGCATAAATTACATAAAAATATTGATCAAAAATAAAAAAATTTACATACTAATATCTAAAACTGATTACTAAATATTTTCCTTTCAGGTGCATCGATATTTTTGGTAAAATGATCGTACTGTTATTCTGAAACGGCTGAAATTTTCTTGACAGTATAAATACATCAAAAAGTATATTTCTTTCAGCGTATGTAAGCTGAAAGCTTACTATAATCCCTATTTAAAATATTAAAGTAATCTTCACTGTAGTCAATGCTTTGCAGCGCCTTCAAATCAACCTAGTTTTCTTTTACTAAATTTAATTAGGCTAAACCAGTATTACAATCCGAGACTTTTTCTATTGTTGCACGTATGAAGATGCAACATACAGAGCAAGCTTGCATCTGAACGCTTTGCTTGTTCTAGAACTTCGCAGAGGCACGTTTCGCTCTCGGTAGAGCTCTGTTGGATCAAGCATCGATCTTCGCAGAGCTTTATCAAGTCATGTTTCACTCAGTGTAGAGAATCATTAAGTCATGATTTGCTCAATGTAGAACTTTAATAAGTTTTGTTTCATTCTTTGTCGAGTTTAAAGTCGTGATTCGCTCTGTGTAGAGCTTTATCAAGTCTTGTTTCACTGGGAAGAGCTTCATCAGGTCATGATTCGCTCTGAGCAGAGCTTTATCATGTTGCGTACTGTGAAGAGTCTTATCAAGTCAAGACTCGATGAAACCTGGCGCGAAACGTCCCAACAAAAGCTTTGCCATTCAGTATGCTTCATATATCCTAAATTTCGCCATTACACCTTTACATCACTTTTGTTGCTGGTGTTCTGGACTTTAAGGGCTGCGAAGCCATGATCCGTATAAGCTTCGTTATACAGTATTCAGGACTTTCTCAGTACTGTGTACACTTAGTAAACAAATGCGGATTGCCTACGCGAACGAGCAAAACGTAAACAAATGGCGACACAACATGGCTCCCACGGGGTCTATCAACGGTCCTTTCTCCCAGAAATAATTTCGACAAAATGACCGTTTTTCTGTGCCATTTCCGCTACGAGTAGCAGTTATTTGTTTTCGTCAGTTTTCGTGTTTGTGTAGCACTTGTGAAGCCAGTTTTGACTTCCTCTGGATAATAACAATCGACAAAATACACTCTGGAGTTACCATCTTCGAACGAACTGGAATTTCATAGCTGAAATGTTTCCCAGTTCTCTATACAAAGATAAATTTTCTTTCTGTTTGAGGTTTCGTGTAACACTTCGTAGACAAGACAACGTAATACTACTACTATTATTACTACTACTAATGCTGCTGGTACTACTGTTACTATCTCTGCTACTACTACTACTACAACTACTACTAAAACTACTATAACTGTTACTTGTACTACAATTACTACACTCAGCTAATACTTCTACATACAACTACTACAACTAGCCATTCTACTACTACTATAACTTCCGCTACACGCACCAACTACTACAACTACACCAATACAGTAGTAAACAGGTTTAGTACTGACCGTGAACATCAAAGAGCAGCGGGTAGTTCTTATCCGCGTCTGAGGCTCTGACACGGTAGATCAGTTCTCCGGGTTCGGTGTCAGATGGCAGCCGCAGTGCCGACATCTTGTCCGCTTCGTAGAACTGCGGCACGGTGGCATCGGCGGCGGGCACCGTGAGTGCCGCCGCCGCCAGGGCCACCGCCGCCGCCGCCAACGCAGCCACCCACCCTCGCCGCCACCGCCGGGGTGGCACGGGCGGCGGCGGGGGCGGGCGGCGGGGCGGTCGTCGTGACATCAAGTGGGTGTGGGCGGCGGGGGGGTGTGGCTCACCTCACGGCCACACGCGGCGCCTGCGGTCACAAATGATCACATTACTTATCAAATAAAGATCACTTAAATCACTTTTAAATCATAAATATTACCTACCATTCACTAAAGTTACTCCAGTCGCCTACAAATTATTACATTCACTTATAAATCACTTACTTTACTCATAAATCACTTATTTCACTCACTTATAAATCACTTACTTCACTCACTTATAAATCACTTACTTCACTCACTTATAAATCACTTACTTCACTCACTTATAAATCACTTACTTCACTCACTTATAAATCACTTACTTCACTCACTTATAAATCACTTACTTCACTCACTTATAAATCACTTACTTCACTCACTTATAAATCACTTACTTCACTCACTTATAAATCACTTACTTCACTCACTTATAAATCACTTACTTCACTCACTTATAAATCACTTACTTCACTCACTTATAAATCACTTACTTCACTCACTTATAAATCACTTACTTCACTCACTTATAAATCACTTACTTCACTCACTTATAAATCACTTACTTCACTCACTTATAAATCACTTACTTCACTCACTTATAAATCACTTACTTCACTCACTTATAAATCACTTACTTCACTCACTTATAAATCACTTACTTCACTCACTTATAAATCACTTACTTCACTCACTTATAAATCACTTACTTCGCTCACTTATAAATCACTTACTTCACTCACTTATAAATCACTTACTTCACTCACTTATAAATAACATACTTCACACACTTATAAATCACTTACTACATTTACTTATAAATCACTTACTTCACTCACTTATAAATCACTTACTTCACTCACTTATAAATCACTTACTTCACTCACTTAAAAATCACTTATTTCACTCACTTATAAATCACTTACTTCACTCACTAATAAATCACTTACTTCACTCACTTATAAATCACTTACTTCACTCACTTATAAATCACTTATTTCACTCACTTATAAATCACTTACTTCACTCACTTATAAATCACATACTTCACACACTTATAAATCACTTACTACATTTACTTATAAATCACTTACTTCACTCACTTATAAATCACTTACTTCACTCACTTATAAATCACTTACTTCACTCACTTATAAATCACTTATTTCACTCACTTATAAATCACTTACTTCACTCACTTATAAATCACTTACTTCACTCACTTATAAATCACTTACTTCACTCACTTATAAATCACTTACTTCACTCACTTATAAATCACTTACTTCACTCACTTATAAATCACTTATTTCACTCACTTATAAATCACTTACTTCACTCACTTATAAATCACATACTTCACACACTTATAAATCACTTACTACATTTACTTATAAATCACTTACTTCACTCACTTATAAATCACTTACTTCAGTCACTTATAAATCACTTACTTCACTCACTTATAAATCACTTACTTCACTCACTTATAAATCACATACTTCACACACTTATAAATCACTTACTACATTTACTTATAAATCACTTACTTCACTCACTTATAAACCACATACTTCACACACTTATAAATTACTTACTACATTTACTTATAAATCACTTACTTCACTCACTTATAAATCACATACTTCACACACTTATAAATTACTTACTACATTCACTTATAAATCACTTCACTCACTTATAAATCACTTAACTCACATCCTCTACACAAATATCAATTGCTAATCCTTATAATCCCCTGTATATTACTTAATATAATTCATTTCATACAAAAAATCCCTCGTAAATCCCTTCAATCACCTACATTCATTTTATTCAGAGGGGGAGCGCTAAAACTGTAGGGATCATATAGCACCTGAAGGAGAGGGGAAGATACGACAGAAAATAATGTTGGAGCCAAGCAAGGGAAGGATAAGTCTATATCCTTGGATCAAGAGCCCCTCCTCGGCATCAAGTCTACCTAAATAACTTAGAAATGTTCTAGTCTCTCTTAGTGTTTGTGTCACCTGCTTCATTCGACTGATCCCCATCAAGGGAGGGTCCTTGATGCTGGTGAGGGGCTCTTGATCTAGGGAACTGGATATGTTCTCCATTTCTCTGAACTGTGCCTAAATGCCTTCAACCCCCCCCCCAGGCACGGGTTTAGCGCTGTCCCTTTATAAAAATAATAATAATAAATAATTCATTCGACTAAACAGGAGGCGAAACGTTTCGTCAATAAAAACATCTAAGTGTCGCACGCACGTGTCTCTCACTCGTCAACTGAGAAATAATTTCAAACTTCAGACAAATAACTCAAGTCAACAAATTCACTTCAATATGTCTTAGAACACTTAGAAATCAATTTAAAAGTCAATAAAAATCACATCACCTGAATGACCATATGTAATTAACAACAGCCAAATAAATGATGTTAACTGCCGGTTATAATTAAAAATTTAATGGTGATTTGAATTGTGTTCTTCACGGCTGGTGATCGACACCATGCCTAGCCCTTCTAGGGTAGGGTAGGTGCCTGAGCCCGAGCCTTTAGCTCATAAGACTGTCATTCCCATTAGTCCCCTTGGGGCGGGGATGGCAGACCAGAGAGGCCTAGCTTGTGGCTAGGCCTGGGGACAGTTGGTCCCAAAGATGAGGAGGTACTTGTGCCTCCTCCCATGGGAGACTTAGGTCTCAGACACTCCCTGAAGAGGGAGCCAAGGCCGGGCCACCACTTGGACAAGGCCCGGGCCGGGAGAATACTGGCTAATCTTTAACTAACTAACTAATTCACGGCTGGTCGGGCAAGGTCAGTGAAACATGAGACGGTGTGGCGGAGCCTAAATGACTCTAAGCGAGGCTTCTTACTCAACTGCACAACGATCCACGTTCGTGGATATATTTAATAGCAAGAATGGTGAAAATGTATAGCCAGGATTGTTGATTGCATTAGACGATCATGACATTTCAGGTCAGGATGAGTGGCTTAAGTTAAAGCTAATTGTAAAGTGGTACAGGAACAGGGTTTGTAAAAAGTTTGGAAGAGATTTTGAAGATTGTAATGGCATCTGCTAGTGGCCTCAAGGAAGGTAGTTCATGAGTTAGGTTTTGTCTAAAGCTGAGTGTCGGTCAGTGTTTTCCAGAAAACGTTCCGAGGTGGTATGTCAGTCCTGAGGTGGAGTGACTCACTCGTGGCAGAGTTCTGCCACCTCACCTCCAGCACAATGCCCGATTTTGGATTCGGTGTAGTAGTAGAGCGCTAGTGTTTACAGTAAGAGTTAGTGTTGTGTATGTGATAAAGGGGGTCTGATACGAGCAGTGTACAGGAGCAAGACCCAGCAACATAATCAAATAGATTCAATTTACAAATCACCCGCACATAGGAAAGAGAACCTGACAACGTTTCGGTCCGATTTGGATCGTTTACAAGTCACAGTATTACTTGTAAGTGTGCAATTTATTAGTATATTAGTCCGCTCGCTGTAGTCTGCCTTTATTATTCTTTAATGATTCCATTTCTACCCTTCGAAAAAGATATACTATTTCCTTATGTAAACTATGAATAAGTTTACAATATATCTCAATTTTGATATACAACTTTAGCTATGTTTTTTCTAAAAAAAAAAAAAGAGAGTGAAAATTTCACGTTTTCAATAAATCACTTTCAAGTAACTTTAATCTGTAAAGCTATTACAGTGAAGGTTAAGTTATCATTCACTCAGCTTCACACAGGCAGTAAAACAATGGATCTATTAAAACATCAAATAAATATTAACTTGCATACACAACACCAAACAAATTAAAAATGTTGACTTACAATTTAGGTGTTGCTCAGTTCGTTGACTTCATCCAAAAAATTGAAGTAACACTTAAATCCACTTACAAGTACTTAATTCACTTGCAGACAAAAATTCCAACTTCCGTAAAATATATCAATGCTTCACTTTTTAAAAAAATCACTTTATATTTTTAATTATTTTTATATATTTACATACGCATAAATTTTAGCCACGGTTCTTATATAAATATTTTTCTTATATTTCAGATTGTTATAAATTTTCGAAGGATAAGTCTTAAGAACCTGTGGTGATATAAATGTTAATAGTATATTATAGGTCAAAATTAAAATATCTTAATCTGTTAAGGAACCACAATGGCAATAAGTCACTCTGATTTTTTTGGGTTATAGTAGGTAATTTACACTATGTATGATAGCTGAACTTATGTGTACCTGTGCCTAAATAAACTTAAGGACTGAATTTCTAAGTTAGTGGAAGACCTCGGTCAGATGACCAAACATACCAGTGGAAGGCCTCGGTCAGATGACCAAAAGTTCCAGTGGCAGGTCAGTGGAAGGCCTCGGTCAGATGACCAAAAGTTCCAGTGGCAGGTCAGTGGAAGGCCTCGGTCAGATGACCAAAAGTTCCAGTGGCAGGTCCGTGGAAGGCCTCGGTCAGATGACTAAAGAGCTCCAGCTGCGGGTCATCATATAACTCAAACCCGCGTCAGGAAACACCCCTAATGTTTCCTGACGAGTATTACCTAACCATGTAAGGCACATGTATGTCGTATTTCAAATATATAATAAGGTTAACATACAGTATAGTAAGGGTTAATATTTCGTAAGGTTTCTTATATCGTAAGTGGAAATATATCGTAAGACGAGACCGAACTAATTTCGAATATCATTGAACTAAAAGTACATTCCTTCCTTGATTTATAAATATTACATAAATAATGGCAAGACGAATGTGAGGAACAAGACAAGACGAAATAGATATACACAGAATGAACAAAATATAGAAGAACAATGAGCGTACACCTGGTAAAGCAGAGAATGATATGCATGTTACCTGCGGCCTTGATGACCCTCGTGTTAGTCGACAGGCTTTAAACAAATTAACCAGCCAACCGATCAAGCCGTGGTAAAATAGGAAAATAAAAAGTAAAACCCACGATGAAGAAGATTATGCTGCTGATGATTTGATGGTCATTATGTGTATATAATTATACTAATTACGGTACGTCGACAGAGAGGATAATTATCAAA